TCAGACAACAAAGCATTGATAAGTCAAGCGGTAAACCCACTAATGTCAATGTGTCTCTTGTCATGTCAGAAACCCTCAGTGCTTGTCATTAACCTGTCCAAATCAATGTGTTTTTGTTTTACAATGAAATCATTAGCTGTAGTTGCTCATGATATAACTTACATAAACCTTCTTTTGCAACAATAAAATGTATTGTCTAAACTGTCATGTTTTTGTTCCATTCTATGCAATATATCCAGAAAAAAAGACAATACAAAGAACCATAATTTACAATGTTACATTTAATATTTTATAGTGATCCCATTGACCAACCATCTTGACAGTTTTAGCAACATTATTGACTAGGGGTAACCAGCCTTTAAAGGTACAATCTGAGACTTACTTGACATTCGCAAGCATACAATAAACACTTTGGTAAGATGCTGTAAGCACAGTCTATAAAACTGATAACATTCTATTTTGGTTTTCAAAAAATGTCCCATTTTCCATTATAACTACCAACCTACGTCAATCACAAATGACATGATTACACTACAAAAAGATTTCTGTATATATTGTATAATAATCCTCTATTGGTATTAAAACAATATCTAGATGATCACATACTCAGACACCATCTTAATGCAGTAAATGTAAGATAAAATGTAAGATAAAAAGAGGACATTTGTAGCTGACGGATTTAATTCCCATATCATTTATTAACAATAAGATAATGGAGTGCAATAAAACTGCAATTAATGGAGGAAGACAGATGGCATCTTAATATTATACAGTGTGCACAAGATTTTTGTAAATGCAATGGTGATGGTTTTTAGAGCTTTACTTTACCATGAAACATGTCTAAATATGAACTGTTCTCAGATGCAATATTTTAAAAAGATTATTCACTAAAGTGGGAATTACTTAGAATTCAAGTAAATTTCAAACTTTAGGCAAACAAAGCTGTGTATGGAAAACTACCAGGACTGTTCACACATGTGAGAATTCAAAATTAATGAATTGTGAATTTAATATTGATAGCCAGAGTGGACAACTGAGAGCATATTAGATTTTTTTCCCAGTTATTAAATTAAATATTAAATTCACTTTTTACCTTAAATTTACCTTAAATTTGAGATTTACTGTAAATTCTCCCTTTAGGAAATAACCCTGTAAGTTGATGAAAGGAGCACTCCAAGACCATTAAGCTGGTGTGAGTTAGGGGTTATGAGCATGTTCAATCTCTCATAGTTTATAAAAAAATATTGATTTCTCAAAGTGATAGCTTTCTAGCGCTTGTTAGGTAGTTGTTAAGGCAACCTAAACCAGAATTTCTCCTTTCTGGTCTTAAATTGTTATTGTGTAATAGGAGGGGTGCAACACCTTGAAGAAAATCCTCAAATCTGGGTCCGTTTGAGTCGGTACGTAAAAAGAAGAGAGGACTTAGTGCAAAATATATAATGTAGCATATTGATAGCTGGATAATATTTAGAAAAATGGAATTGCACTTATAGTATATTTAGCTGATAATAGCTCCAAATGGATGATGATCCCCACCCGTGGATGTGTATTTGATGTTATGATCCAATGGAGAGTGGTCCAGAGGTATGCAGAGAAACAAAGTGACACACATACAGTGTAGTATATTAGATGTACTAGGTGAGGTGAATATAGGTGTACACTTACAATTTGGAGTTTTTGTGTGTACAACCATATATATTCACTCCGCCTAGTAAATATAATATACTACACTATATTGGTTTCATGTTTTGTTCTCTCTGCATACTTCTGGACCATGCTGACCCAGACAGTGACCCATAGTTGAGGACTCTTTCCAAGGTGCTGCTCTCCCCCTCCTCCACAGTTTTCTAAATGAACTAAATTGCCCTTCTGACCCTAAGTTAGACAGCTAGTGGGCTTTTCGTCCTCATTCAGTTTGAACATTCACTCAAGCAGGAGCTTTCAGTGCTTCTCTGTGAAATGCATTCTATTGGTGGCCCACTGTGAATGCCATACATTCACTGTAAGATGCATTGGATTTGTCCAAAATATCCTCACTAGTGTGGATCTCCTGGGGCCGGCTAGAGCTTGGGTAAGGATTAGACGTAATTATTTTTTTAAGGAACAGAATGGATTCTAAAATCAAAACTAACAAAGGAACACTCCAGTGTTACAAATATATTTTTTTGTTGGAGAGTTACTTTAAAAGATTGAATTCCCTTTCTATCAGACTGTACTGAATGTATCTGTTTGTCTTTAAAAAAAAAAAAAAGAGATGTTAGTATGATTATCAGATCCACCTTATTTAATTTTATAACCATTAGTTTAAATGCAATTAAGACATAGATTTAGAAACAAATCTAACTGCCAACTTGTGATCAAGGACATTATCTACTCATGATGTAAATTTAGAAAAAAATAAATTTAGGAATACAAATAAGACAAATATTTGTGTGGGGCTTCCAATACAATAAGTAATAACCAGTGAGTGTTTATTTGTAAACCTCCTATAGAAAAGCAGTTAGGATCTTGTATACTTTAGCAAGTAGGACATTTTTTGACAGCTATGATTTGCACCCTCAAAATTGAAAATTAGTAAACATTAATTTTTTAATGACCTCCAAACAATGTATAAATTATGCTTCAAATAGAAACACATGTAAAGGTAATGGTTGTATGTATTTTGTCTAAAAAAATGGGCCCAATTAATGTCTGTTTTCTACAATCCCAAAATTTAACCTCCTAATGTCACAAACATGTGCAGCTCATTGTGTCTATTCTTTAAAAATATAGGGAAACATTTGTGTAAATTAGTAGAAACCTTACTTCAAAACAGATATGCATACATACATATTACAGAGAATCCTTTCATTTAATTCATTTCAAGATCAGTTATACTTCCAATCCAACAAAGCTAAAGTGCCGTTTTGCTTCTTGGTCCTTGTCTGTAATCCAGGCAGTTCACCAGTCTTCAAGATACTTCTAGAGTAGTTCAATATTTAATTGAAGGACAACCTCAGAATTTGATCTGGCAATTTCTCTTTTAAAAATCTCGTGCAGTTTATATCAAACATAGATAAGATGCAACCACCCTGTCACACATAGCATAACAAAAAATAGAAAGAGATAACAAGGTATTTTAGCTCTGGCACTTATGTACCTGTCTATTTCAAAAAAGGGTAGGCATTGGTAAAGGTAATAAAGGTGACTTGCATGGATATAGCAAAATTATAAAAATAGGTTTATATTATTAATCCAGATAGTTAAATGCACACTATTGTGTCAGAAATACAAACATGTATCCCTGACACTATAGTCCTGGAGTGGTTGTTTAGCTGTCTGGCCTCAATCCGATCACCTTTTAGTCCATGCTTTACCACTCTCACCGCAGCTGGCCCCACCTGGCTCCTCCTCCATGGCTGACATCATCAATCAGCATCTGTGCCAATCAGCATCTTCATCTTCATTAAATCAATGCATCTCCATGGGGAACATTTAGCATATCCCTCTGCAAAGCTTGGATAATCTGAATGCCAATATTGCACTCTGTACAGCACTGGACTAGGAAGCACCTTTAGTGGCCATCTGAGTGACTGCCACTAAAAGTATTTATAGGCACCAGTGCTGACATTGGGAAACCTGCAGGGGCAGGCTATAGACACTAGAACCACTACATTGTGCTGTAGTGGTGCTGGTGAATATAGTGTCCCTTTAAATATATATAGGCATAATTATGTTTTGTTAATTGAAATGGGTCATATATAACTATATAAACAGATTTTTAAAAATATGCACTCTTTAAAAGTGACCATATGATAGTACAGGATTGTACAAATAGTACAGAAAAAGTATCAAACCCATTTAAAAGCTTGGCAAGAGCTTGATTGATTAGAGGGACACTGTTGGCACCTAGACTACATCAGTTAATTGAAGTAGTCTGGGTGCTGTGACCCTTTTGCACTTTGTGCTGCAAAGTAAAACATTACAGTTCCAGAGAACTGCAATGTTTACATTGCAAGTCTAAGTCTGCCTCAATGACTGTTTACCAGACAGCCACTGGGGACGCTTCCGAAATCTAAACCGACTTTTGGTCCGTTATTTGACGCTGGACATCCTCACGGACCTCCAGCGTCATATTTTCCCCATGGGAAAGCATTGAAAAATGCTTTCCTATGGTGAGGTCTAATGCGAGCGCGGCCATTGGCGCGCATGCGCATTAAGTCTCCACCGCCAGCTGATGTTGGCGGGGGAGGAGCAAATGCAGAGCATGACCCAGCGCCGTGGGACATCGGCACTGGATTCGGGTAAGAGTCTGAAGGGGTTTTAACCCCTTCAGCGACATGTGATGGGGGGCAGGAGGAAGGGGGACACTCCAGGATTTTCTAGTGCCAGGAAAACGGCTTTGTTTTCCTGGTCCTGGGGAATCCCTTTAAAACCACAATAAGTGTATACATAATCATGAATTGAGGTAAAATCCAAAACATAGCATAATCACCTGGATTATTTAGTTTGTTTGCAAGGTATGCAGTACGTTTTTTAAGTTTTGCACTAGAATTGATTTTCATACAAAACCTCCAATATGACTCAGACCAGCTTGATTGCATACTCTGATGGTTTTCCTCTATGATCCTATTAATGTATAAAAGGGAAGAGGAGGAGAATTAGAAACTTAACATTCAAAATCAATCAGATAATAACACAACTAGTGCTAATTTCTATTCCCTATTTAATTACCCTCTTATTATCACATATACTCCATAGATCTGCAATATCCAACATTTACTTTTTCATGTTAAACGTTGTTGAACAGTCATTGATTCAAATATGATACTACAATATTATTCTGTTGGTGCTGAACAGGATACCAACTAAATTGTCTTAACCAAGCATCACAACAAGTATGCAATAATATGTTTGTAAATGGAAATAATGGACCATTATGCAGAATCATGTCAGAGATAGATAACAGACAATGAAGAAAGGCCCTGATCATCTAGACCGGTGTTCCCCAACCCAGTCCTCATGGACCACCAACAGTCCAGGTTTTGTCAGTATCCATTGGAATAAAACAGGGAAATACATAAATCCTGGACTGTTGGTGGTCCCTGAGAACTGGGTTGGAGAACACTGCTCTTGACTGTGCAAGGGTTAACAAAAAGGTTGTGATGGGTTTAAGTGAGGGAGTCCCACGATGGCAGCTACATGAAGCATTAAGGAGGAAAATGACACTCACTGATGATATACACGTGAGTTTGGTGTCCCTTGCTTGTAATGCCATACACAGTGACATAGATATAATTTTTTCGGTGCTTTGTGATGTTTTGTTCTCTGTTTAAATAAATAACGTGTAAACTTCCTATTATATTACAAATAATAAGATTTACAGGGTTATTCACTAAAGTGAAGATTAAAAGTGAATTTAAAGTGAATTTTAAAATAAAGGCCATAGTATCTGAATGGAAAGCATAGCTGACTTGGAGAATCTTACTAGTTCAGCTATTATGATCTTAAATTTGAAATTCATTTTGAATTTACCTTGAATTATCACTTTAATGAATAATACAGTTAAAGCCTACAAGTTGAACCTTTTTGAAATGTCCCACCTGCAGATATAGAAGAGGCATATAAAGCAATTGAAGTAATAGCGAATTTAACAAAATGTATGGAAATGTTACGCAATTCTATGAAGTAGTTAACTTTTCCTTGCTTTTCTTTCTTTTTAATGCAATTTACAGCAATATGTTTAGATTCACATCATTCTGTGTTTTTATATATATACTTATTTATTCTTTTACAGTATTCATATGTATAGATGATGAATGCACCCGAGATTTGGAAAATGTATGGTTTACAGCGTCCACTTTTATGGTTCTTTTTCTTGTGAGCCTCTTCTATACAGCAACGGTCACGGTGTTTAAGGTAATTCTAGGGAATTAGACAAATGTAGTATTCTGTGTAGAAATGTTTGAATGTATGTGGAAGGGTACAGTTTTAGCTGTAGAAATCCAGAAGTCAAGTAAAGGGCGATACATTTATTGGCTAAGCAGATTTAGAATGTAGGAAAGACCACTCCAGTCTATGTTTCAAGCTAAACATACTAGATGAAGCAGCCTGAAAGGTCTTGAAAGCTTGCATTCGAAAAAGATGTACAGGTTTTTAAAAGTCTTTTAGTCTAGTTGTCTTCAATGTTGATAAAATCACACACCACAGATAGTTGTACACCTAAGACTTAATGAGTCGTCATCTTCAACTAGACATAGTCTCTATAGATATACTAATAATTACCTTTTCCATTCCTCTTCACTTAGGTTAAAGGCTGAAATCTGTCATTAGTCGTCTAAAAAAAAGAAGTATTTCATTAATATGTGATGTGTTTTGCTCAAGTCATCCTGGAAATGCCAATTTGTGTTACTGAAGAGACAGCTATCATTATACCATACCGAAGAGTTGGGATGTGTTATCAAAATAATTTCCTGATATTATTGGGAAGCATAGTATTAGAATAATGATCACTTTTATCTTGTATTTGGTTTACAGTGTAATGATGCTACAAATGACATTAAAACCTAATCAATTATTACTTAAAGAGGCACTGTCATTTTTTAGATTTTCCTTTCCTCATGCTTCTCTTCTTTTCTTTTTTCTTTTTTGCCTCTATTTTGTGTTCCTCTGTCCATAGTGTTAGCAGATTGCCTTCTGTGGTATTATTTTCATGGACACATTGTGGGTAAATTAGTTCAGAAGCTAAAAAAATGTTTTGCTTAAGATCCACCCATTGGCGAAGACTGTAAAAGATTATGCTCTAAAAGAGACAATTTAAACCCTACTAACGGAAGGGCAAGCTACTGAGTTTTTCTAAGCTTTTGCCATTTATCAGTGTTCTCATATTCTCTATTTTTGTTGCACTACTTTCTCATTTGTATGAAATATCAAAAACAAAAAATGAGGAGAAGTTGAGGGAGTTATTTAATTGAAACCTGTAAAATGACTATTAATGATTACATTTTTTATTAAAACGTCATTGTTGTTTTCATTATTGTGATGATTATTAGCAATATAGAATGCTTGAGCAATCAAGGTATTGTTTGTTACTAATTAGCTGTTTTGTTACTAATTTGATGATTTTACTTAAAAAAAAAAAAAGAAAATGGATGTTTGTGTGTTTAAGACAAACATGCCTTAGTGTTGTCAATAACATAAGTTGTCCATAAAACTACTGAAAATAATTTAAAGTAAATGACGAAGGGTGTTTGTTTTACTGCAATGAAGAAATTGTTTGCTTTAGGAACATGAATGGGCAATGGATTGAATTCTTAAAATCAAACAGCAATGACTTGTTAAGAGATTGCTGAGAAGTGGTTGATGTCCCATCATGGGGGAGTAGGGGGTAGGAGAGAGATTAGAAAAAACAAAAGTAGTTTTAAAGATACTGCAGGAGTGTTGGGGAGATAATAGAAAAGGCATGAAAGAGCAGAATAGTTTACACCAAGGTTGCAAAGACCATTTTAATTACACCAATGCAGCCAAGCCATGAGGTTTGAAGTAATGTCCATTGGATTAGGCCTCTGATTATAGTTTCTAGTAAAATAGAATGAGTAAATGTATATAGGTCACAAGAAGACAAAGTCAGATACGTGCCCAGGTATTTTATTTGGTAGTTACATCAATTAAACAGGCACTACTGTTGAAGTGAGTGACTACAAGTAAAAAGTCTAAAGTGTATGATAGGTTCCACCAAAATTTATGTTCTTAATTTTGCAAGGGGTAAATCTTTAGTTATTTTAAGTTTTACCTGCTTGTACTGTTTATTTTAAGCTCTGACTCTAAACTAAGATTACTGATGACCCCTCCCTGAGCACACTCAGCAAACAAAGTTTCTTCAGCCTCCACATCATCAGCTCCCCCCTCTTACCCACCCTTCCCAGTTTAAGACCATTCCCCTGACTCCAAATTTGTGTTCTGCTAATGAACATGAGTACAGAAATACCTATATGTAGACCTTTAGCAGATTGTTGAGAAGTTATAGTGTATGTTACAGATATGACCAATTCAAATTTCAAATTCCCAGTTTTGAACGTATGTTACTTTTGGAACAAAACAGCAGCGCCCACAAGCTCTTTACCCCATCATTGCGTGCCATTTGCAAAAGAAGAAAACCTTCTTACGAATTAAGTACTAAACTTTATTTTTATTTTTTTACATACATACTTCAAAGACACCACATTTATATTCTGTTACATCTCCCATATACAATGCACAACATTTATACCTTTGCAAGGTTTCTGGAGACCTTATAGGGTCAATGTACAGATTTGCCCAAATTTTGACAATTCTCTATATTTGCTTTCCAGTGATGCTATTAGCTGAATTGACGCACTCTGTGTATGATAAGCATGAAACGTGTACATTTCTTAGCCCTAGCTAACCATAATTCTAACTAGTCCTAGCTAACTCTATCTGACCAGAAATAACCTTAACTATTTCACACCTGACCTCTAGCTAACTGTAACCAAGCTTTCCTAAATTACCCTAACTATAGCTAATCTTAAACAAAACCATAGCTAACCCTAACATTAACCAAACCTAGCTAACCCTAACTAGCCCTAACATTAGCTACCACTGTTAGCAGTTTGGACCTCAGACAAATAAACTGCTGTGAGAAACAATTAAAGTGATCATATTCTAATAGGTATAATTTAAGGCATGTTATCACTGCAATTGTTTACCAGCATCCTATTCGTCCATTTGCTATCAGTATAGCCCTATCGAAGAGTTTATCTATGGTGTAGAGCCACAATGACGGCATGCATTGGGCAGCCTCAGCCACTAGTGTGGAGCCCAGTAATATCCAGGTGCAGCCAATTGGTGAGTAAAATTTGAGGGGATGTTAGAGGGGATGTTAAACAGCAACTGCAAATGACTGCATATTGGAAAAGTGACATCAGCAGGAAATCTACTTCCTGAAACCTACCAGTCTGAGTTACTTCTGGGAGGTAATACCTTGAGAGCTCTACCATCAGTCTCATGACTTCCAAGAAAGCATTACCTGATTACGGTGTGTGCCAAGTAGCTCTATTAATAAGATCCACTGGGAGGTTCTGTGGACAATGAAAATCGTGGCAGGCCTTTGGAAGTTAGTTAAATATAGCAAATCACCTGACAGCTAGTAATAATATAATATATATATATATATATATACCCCTCCTGGGTGGTATGTTTATTCCTCATTATCAGGTCCTCTACCAGAGGCCTGGGAGTTTGAGGGTTCTGCGCAGTATCTTAGCTGTTCCTAGAACTGCACTCTTCCAGACAGCGATCTCAGATGTCCCACCTGGAATCTGTTTAAGCCACTTCCCCAACTTGGGAGTCACAGCCCCGCGTGTTCATATATATATACTTAATAAAGGAGCACAAGGTAGTAATACATTATGTTCAAGTACCAGAGATTTCATACATGCCTGGTTTACAAATCATTTGATGATATGATAATATGCTTTATCCGAGGAGGTGTGAACATGCAGGGGATTAAGATAGTGACAATGTAGCAGAGGCAGCTGGGATGGGGTCAGTTAACAAAATATTTATTAAAGTTGTTTTGGTGTCTTTAGAAAGTTACTCTTAAAGGGGGACTTTTCTGGGATTTAAACATTCTTATAAAAATGCTAAAAATCACCTGTAACTTGTGTTAACCTTTTCCCTGAAATGGTCCATTTTATTTTACATTTATATTTAGATACCATTTAATAAATAACATACCAGTTCAGAAAAGTTAAATCCAGGCAAACATTGTTAAGAATTAATACACACATTGTTCAGTTTCTTCTCTTCTCTGTGTGTTGACTTCAAGCTGACTGCCAGGTGCAAAGATCAGAATCTATAACAATGATTGACAGCACCCAGTTGCATGATGAAGAGGGATCCAGGAGTCACCTTGCACCTTCAAGCAGCAGCATGTCTTTTCCCGTCGTGAACCACCAAAGCGCTGCCATGGGATGCTATAGCAACATTCCACGTGGCACGCAATGCATGCTGGAGCATTGCCATGGCAACCTGCGGCAATGATATCGCAGCTTGTGAATGGAAAGGGCATGCTGCTGCTGGAGGGTG